GTAATCCTTTCCTAACTTTTCACTTATACCTATAGTCTATATAGATTGGGGGGGGCATTTATATAAGTGACTGTACACCATTCACTGGAATAAGAAGAAAGGATTAAAGAACCAGGCCTGGTGACTGACCCTGTAGATCCTTGCACCTTCGAGACAGAGGCAGGAGAATCACAGGTTCTTGGCCAGTTTCTGAAGCATAATGAGTATGAGGCCAGCTTGGGCTATGTGAGACTGTCTCAAACAATTTTAAAAACGGGAATGAAAAGTTGGGAAGTTCTTTACGTATGGGTACATTAAGTGAAAAGACAAGAGGCCAATCATGTTTATTAACGGACTATTTTTGGTTTTTCCAGACAGGGTTTCTCTGTGTGGCTTTGGAGCCTTATGCTGGCACTCGCTCTGGAGACCAGGCTGGCCTCAAACTCACAGAGATCCGACTGCCTCTGCCTCTCAAGTGCTGGGATTAAAGGCGTGCGCCATCAACGCCCGGCTAAGGAACTATTCTTAAAAATATAGCAGATACTGGAAGATGGTAGATGAGTAGGTGGGTGAATGGAAGGGTTGATGGGTGTGTGAGTGAACAATGCTCCTTGACAACAGTGACTATGACGCTTTATCATGAGACAATGACTGACTATGTCATCAGTCACAAGGTTAGGAGCTGACCCACCTGACAATTGGGGATGAAGTAATCACCTACAAATTTATCTACAACTTTAAACCAATGTTTATCTTAACTCCTCAGGATGTCAAGTTATTAAACTCACACTGTGAAGTAGCGACTAGTTAATATTTGCTCCAAATATTAAGTGTTCTTCGTGAGTTGGTCTCTCCATGGCTCTAAGTCCTCTGCCTTGGTCATCTGGCTGCCCCCACTTCCCATACTTCCAGGGAATATTTTTTTTTTTCTGCCTAATGTCCGTGTCCTCCTGCCCTAACACAAGACAATATCCCAACATACAGTAGACTCAGCTCAAGCCTTACTCTCAGTAGAGTGATTCAGAGGGAACAGCCTCCTCAGTGCAGGCAGCATGTGGGCACTGTCCTTACTTAGTCCCTGGACCTGTGACCCTCAGGTTTACCCACACTATCTCTTCTCCAGCATTTTTCTTCCAATTCATGCCACCTTGCAAAAGTTCCATGCTCTAGTTCCAACAGCCGGGCTGTTCACTGTCTTTTCACTGTCTGAGTTTAGGTGGCTCTTTGGATTCTTTTTTTTTTTTTAATTAATCTTTTCATCTGGGTGGTTAGTTTTTAATTTATCTTTATTATTTTATGTGCATTGGTGTTTTGCCATGAGTGTCAGGTCCCCTGGAACTGGAATTACAGACAGTTGTGAGCTGCCATGTGGGTGCTGGGAATTGAACCCTGGTCCTCTGAAAGAGCAGTCAGTGCTCTTAACCACTGAGCCATCTCTCCAGGCCTTAGGTAACACTTTGGAATGGGTTTAAATTTAAGAGAAAAAAAGAACAACCCAGTGAAGTCTAGAGGGAGGCCCGCCTGTCTGTGCTCTTCAGAGTTGGGTCTTTGTCAGTTTCTGGGTAGAAACTGATCTCTGTGGAAACAGCTGAGTATAAAACTCTACAGGGAAGGCAGGGTGTTTGCGTTCAAGGGTGTAGCTGGACATGGCAGTGAACACAGCTGTGACCTGGAAAAAAGTAGGGAGCTCTGTGCACAGAGCTGGCAAGCTTCCCTTAATCCCCAAGGGAGTGGGGGGCACAGGAGGCCATGTCCCCTGCAGTCATGGGAAAACCCATTTATTTGGGTAACCCACCAGACAAGAGGCATATTCCAAGTTCAGAGTTTGATGAGTCTAATGTGGCCCCAAGAAGGTCTACAACCACACATTCCTACACATAACCCAGTCTGAGTGTTTTAGATGGTTTTCTAGAGACTCAGAGTGTGGGATCCCTGGGATCCCTGGGATCCCTGGACAGTGTGAAGCCCCTGACAGTGTGGGAACCCTGAAGGAGCCAGGGTGACAGGAACAGAGGAAAGCAATGATGGGCTAGTAATAGGATACATTTGACTGTTAGCTGGTACCCAAGTGTCTAAGAGGAAACAGATCTGAAAGTTGTCTGTGGTTGACAAGTCAGGTTCCCAGCTTCTGTGATGAGAAGGCTTAGCTTTTCCTGAAGAATCGGCTGAGTGTTAGGGAACCTGCTCGGGATTCTCAGCTTGCTTTGTTAGTCCCAGCCTGTCTTTACTGTCGCTCATGCCAGGATTCAATGCTTCCCTTCTAGCCAAGACTGACTCTCCCTGTGTTGTGTGTCTGAGCACACACATGCACACACGTGTACACAGCACACACATGCATGCACATAGACACACACACTGGCACACACACACATGTGCACACACCACACTCACATGCTCGCACACACACACACATGTGCACACCCCCCACTCACATGCTCACACACATACATGCACACACCCCACACTTATGCACACACATTCCCCACACAGGCACATACACAACACACATGCACACTCTTGCAGGCGTGCGCGCGCGCACACACACATACACACACACACACACACACACACACACACACCATAAACCAGTCTTGAGAGGACCTTTGCCTGCTTCTTCAAGCCATGATCCAGCCAGAGAGGGCTGGTGTCCAGGCTAGTTCCTTACACCTTTGTGAGCTCCTCTCTGCTCTCCCAGGGAGATGGGGCTGAGTTTACTTATTTCACAGAGAGTGATTTCAATGGGGCCAGTCATCTTCCTTCCTTTTTGGTATGACCTAAGGCACACCAGCAAATACAGGGCAAGGACGACTACCACCCAGCCCTCAGTTTCCCCAGGGCCAGGGTGGAATGGAGGTGAAGGCTCTGACTGTGTAGCCTGATCTATTGTTTGAGACAGTGTCCTCTTGGCCATTTTGTAATTAGCGGAGTCTTAGTTTGTAATTTTCAATACAAGAGTAGTAATTCACATCACTAAGCCAGTCCCATGAAGTTTTACCAACTGAGAAATACAAATTAAAAGCAGTGTGCATAGCATGATTCCATAGGAACACATGTAAACCTACCTGTAAACACACATAAATCACAGACACACAGGTGTGTGCATGCACATACTGTTATATGTGTTAGAGTATTTAAATGTTTATCTATGTACCCTGTATCTTTTACAATGAACTTGTGTAACTTAAGAAGAATGTATTTAGATAAAATTCAGTATAAAGAGGGACACGGGAACTGGAGAGAGAAGGCAGCTGCTAAGAGCACTTGCAATTCTTCCAGAGGACCCGAGTTCAGTTCTCAGCACCCATTTCAGGCAGCTCACAACCATCTGTAACTCCAGCTCCAAGGGATCCAATGACTCCAACCTCTTCAGACACCTATACTCACATGCACAAACCTACATACAGCCAGGTGGTGGTGGCGCACGCCTTTCATCCCAGCACTGGCGAGGCAATGGCAGGCGGATCTCTGTGAGTTCAAGGCCGGCCTGGTCTACAAAGTGAGTTCCAAGGCTGTTAAATAGAGAAACTGTGTCTCAAAACAAACAAAAAAACTAGACCTACATACAGACATACATACCTACACATAGTTAAAACACAATAAAAATAAATCTTCAAAAAAAATTAAAGTGATACAATGATGACCTCATAGGTACCACAGGGTTGTTGTGAAGTTTAAAACACCACCTCTGACGAACTTAGTTGAATGTCAAGCACCATTGTAAATGTATTTTGTGACGAAAGAGTTCACTTCTGGGGTCACTGTTCTGGTTGGGTACTTTGCCCCTGCCTCTCAAAAAGTTATTTTTATTTATGCTTATCTCTGTGTGAGCATGTGCATATGAGTGCAGGTACCCAAAGAGACCAGAAGACGTTGCCAGATCCTCTGGAGTGAGTTGTAGGTGGTTGTGAGCTGCCGTACATGGTGCTAGGAACTGAACTTGGGTTCCTTGGAAGAGTAGCAAGTGCTCTTAGCAGCTAAGCCATCTGTCTAGCCCAGCTTTCCTGCCTCATGATGTGCCCTAACTGCTCAGTTTAGACAGCAGGATTGTTGAATGACAACCATGGGAGGGGGGTGCAGCAGCCAGCTCTTGGGGCCACAATTTGTAGCTTACTCCACTCAACCTGGCATGAACATCCCTCTCATGAGTGATTTCAAGCTGTTACCACAACTTTGTTGCATGGGGAGTTGGGGAAAGACACACACACACAGCAAACTCTTGCAAGATGATAGGATCACTGCCAGCGTGCTACTGGGAGGGAGATCACTACGTATCTGATCCACACTGGCAACCAGACAGACTGGATCTCCACTGGCACCAGCTGTCCAGGGTCTCCTGGTCCAAGGAAGAACCAGGTCAGAGCTCTCTTGCCTTGTCCTTTGCCAGGGGAGCTTTCTGATGGAGTGTCTGTCTATCTGTCTGCCCAGCAATGGTCAGAAAGACAGGGTCATACTCTGGTGTGCAGATTACCTACCAAATGTTGGGCTCAAGCAATCCTCCTGCCTCACCTTCTTGAGTAGCTGGGTCTACAGACACTATTATTCCTGGCTTTGATCTTTAAGATGCAGAGTTCGTATGCTAGCTTATTGGTTGTGTCTCATTTAAAAAAAAAAAAAAAGAACCTTGAGCTGGGATCTAGCCTAGTTGAGAGTGCTTCCCTAACATGCACGAGGCTCAGACCTCAGCATCAGAAAAACAAAACAAAACTGTGATAACTTTATGCTCCTGATAGCGATCGAGCAAGATGTATAACGAAACAGGCACATTACTGAGTAAAAAATCATTTCATTTAACCCTCTAGCAGCATTGTGATGAGTTTACCACCATTATCACAGGTAAGGAAACCGAGTCACGGAAAGGCTAATGGGCAGGCCCAAGTTTCCATAACTGATAACAGGAGGAGCTAGATTTGAGTGTTAGATAAAGCTTTGAAAGGCCAACGAACTTTATCAAAAGGGTGGTGGGGGTGTGCTAAGTCCAAAGGTCTAACCTCTCTTCTCCCTTCCTCTCTTTCCAACCACAGACTCAGAAGGACAACGAACAGAATTCTGGCCTCCTCCTGTTGCAGCAGCAATATTTTAGGATCAGTGAACGTGTGCGGCTTTGAACCTGATCAGGTCAAAGTACGGGTGAAAGACGGAAAGGTCTGTGTGTCAGCTGAGAGGGAGAACAGGTACGACTGCCTCGGATCCAAAAAGTACAGTTACATGAACATCTGCAAAGAGTTCAGCTTGCCGCCGTGTGTGGACGAGAAAGACGTGACCTACTCCTACGGGCTCGGCAGCTGTGTCAAGATCGAATCTCCATGCTACCCCTGCACTTCCCCCTGCAACCCCTGCAACCCCTGCAGTCCCTGCAGCCCCTGCAACCCCTGCGGACCCTGCGGACCCTGCGGACCCTGCGGACCCTGCGACCCTTGCAACCCCTGCTATCCCTGTGGCAGCCGATTCTCCTGTAGGAAAATGATCTTGTAAGAAGTATTTAGAACCTATGTCTTAGCAGAAGTCAGTCCTCCAGTCAGGCAGCTTGTCAGCACTTTCTCTTCCCCTTCCCATAGCCCGTGTGGTTCAAGTGTACAGGAAACTGAATACATAACTGCAATCTGATGGTGTTGTGTGCTGGTCTTTTGGTTCGACTCCTAGCAGAGTTAGCTAATTGAAGAATTAAGGGGAGATGAGATGAGATCTGATCTCCAAGTACTCCATACCCAACAACCTCTAAACCAGAGGTGTCCCCACACTAAGTAACCCGGTGAGAGGGCCCTGCCTGAAAAGAACACTGTGAGAGTACTCTGGGTGGAAGCTAATACTCAGTGAGGATTTGGTGGTGAGGCCACCTCCTTCCCAAGCCCAACACGACTATGGATTTTACTGGGGGACCAGACAATCCTAAGGAGAATAGTGCAAAGTGCAGCATGTTAGAAGATCCAAGACAGGGCAGCCATCCAAATCCAGAGTTTCAGCATTCCTGGGGTTTTGACTCTGCACTTCTGGCTCAGGGTAGTTTGCAGCCTCCTGGGGATTTATTGCCACTCAGTCTCTTTCCAATTCTTGAATCTGGTTTTAGGCACAAAAGGTCAATGGAGCAGGGAAGTACAGCTTCAACCATTGAATTTGGATCCTCACTGACATAGCTCAAGAGCCATTCTTGTTTGTTTTTTAGTTTGTTCTTACTGTGTAACTATGGCGTCCGGAAAACTCATTATATAGATAAGGCTGGCCTCAAACTCACAGAGATCTGCTTGTCTCTGCCTCCTGAGTGCTGGGACTAAAGGGGTGTGCCACCATGCCTGGCTTCCAGAGTTGGCTCTTGATTGCTAGGGGATAAAGGAAGTATAAAGGAAGAATGAAGGGACCCTGGGGAGGAAATGGCTGAAGCTGGTCTAGATTCTTAGAGGAAACACAAACCCTTGTTTGCATAGTTACATCCTTTAATTGGTCTTAGCTGTGAGTGGATTAGTTTTCTCAGTGAGGGCTGCACTTGGGAATCACTTGAGCAGCTGTAAAATATGGACCAGGCTATGAAGAAGGTTCAGTGGGTAAGAGTGCAGGCTTCACAAGTGGGAAGACCCGGGTTCAAATCCCCAGTATCCACAAAAAGTTGGGTGTGGCTGTTCATACTTAAACCCCAGCATTGAGGAATGGAGATGATGGGTCCTGGGAACTTGCTGGCCCGCTAGCTTAGCCTAGGTAATGAGTTTACAGTTCAGTCTGTGTCTCAATTGGGGTTCTCTAGATTGACAGAAGCAGCAGAATGAATATACATTTAAAGAAACACATTCAGTTGACTTACACAGTACAGTCTGGGTTGGCTAAACATTGGCTGCCTCACACACCAACGTGGCAGAGAACCTGGCAGTTTCTCAGTTCCTGGGGCTTGGTGTCTCAGCAATCCCACTCTGATGCTAAATCTGGGAGGGTTCCTGGAGAGCGTCTTGTCTGCAGCCCCTTTTGGAAGCCCCCTCAAGCTGGATTCTGCTACAGTGCAGATGAACGTGCCAGTCACAGCAAAGGTAAGCAAAGTGTCTTTTTTCTGGGGGGCCCTTTTTTCTGGAGCTCCCACCAGAGGCTACAGCCCCTGTGTAGGGTGGGTCTCCCTATGCTATGGAACAGATCAGGAAAAGCCCTCACAAGAGAGCCAGGAGGCTTGCCTTTCAACTGCTTCCAAATCCAGTCAAGATGACAACCAATATTAGCCTTGACAGTGAGAGACACCTATCTAAAGGAGGTAGACTGGAGAACAAAGAAAGACAACATGGTTCCCTCAGGCTTCTACACACCCACACATAGACACACATCCCTACACTCCTGTACATACACAATACATACCACACCATACACAGCACACACACCCACACACACATAGACACACATTTACACTCCTGTACATACAAAATGCACACCACACTGCCCCGGCCCGCAGGTCTCTGGTAATTAATTTGTGGGTCCAAGGTGGACTAAGCCTGAAAATAATGGGCGGAAAGAAAAGGGAGACCAAGCAGTTTTTCCTTGTCAAGGTCTCTTTATTGATTATAAACAAGGGGTTTTTGAAAGAGAAAGGAGGAAGCAGAGAAAGAGGAAGTGGGGGAGGAATAGGTGTTAATTGCTCTCAGGCCAGAGCAGGTATCTGGAACCTAAGGGGCGGGGTGCTTGACTAATTGGTGGTTAGCTGAGCATGGAGGTCACCAGTCCTCTGAAAAGGAGAACGTTTTTTTTATCAAGAGCTGGCTCCTGACACCACACCATACACAGAAAACAGCACACACACATAACACTCATAGACACACTTCCCTACACTCCTGTACATACACAATGCGTACCACACAATACACAGCACACAGTACACACACATGCAGACACAGACATGTGTTTCTATACTTTTGTGCATATACAATACACACCATACCACACAGCACACGCACATACACACATAGACACACATCCCTACACTCCTGTACATACACAATGCGCACCACACAATACACAGCGCACAGTACACACACACATGTAGACATAGGTGTCGGAAGCTGAAAATTATGCCATTAGAGGATTTCTCGGGGTCCAAACCTCCAGTGCTCTGGTCTACATGCAGGTGCTAGCTGATTTGCTGAGCTGTATAGCCTCAGTGGAGAATGTCCCCTAGTTTTGCATCTCTACAGAACTAAGCATTTGAATAGGCCTACACCAGGGCAGAGGGCTAAGTTAGTGACAAGTGAGGACTGATAGGGTCTAGGAAGAGGAGAGACAAATGGCCTCATATCATGGTCAGGATAGTACAGTTAGAAAGCAACAAGGAAGTTGCTGAGTAAAGGAGAGACACCAGTTTTGCAGCATGGAACTGAGAGCTCTCTAAAGATGACAAGATGCCTGTGTCTGGTCTTTATTGCTGTTGGGTTGCTAGGAGTTTCCAAGTCCACCCTCTCCGACTCGGGCCGAGCCTTGTGGCTTCTGTGGTTTGGGGCTGAGACATGCGTGGCCACGACACATAGGCATGCATCCCTATACTTTTGTGCATATATAATACACACCACACCACATACGGTGCACACAGTATGCATGCACCCATACACACATACACACACACACACACACACACACACACACACACACACACACACAATATATGTATGCCAGGATGGGAGTGGTTTGCCTCACATACTCAGGGCCCAAGGTTTGGTCTGTACAATCTTTCTCTCTGTGATTAATTTCTCTAGAGATTAAAATGCCAGTCAACTCATGACACAGCCTGGGCACCTGGAAAGCCTGAAGCAGAGAATGCAACTTCAATGCCAACCTTGTCTACAGAGTAAGTTCCTGTCTCAAAATAAAATGAAAATGGCAGGGAAGCATTTTTATTTAAGATAGACTGAAGAAATAATTAAAACAAACATTCAGCATCAATGCTATTTTTACTAACAACTTTCATAGTTAATATCACTTTAGAAGGAATGTGGTTACCATGTTTGCAGAAATAATTATAGCCAGACACAAACCATTCTTTAAAAAATATGTTTATAGTTATTAAATAATTTTCATTTTTGTTTTTGTTTTTTTGTTTGGTTGTTTGGTTGGTTTTTCAAGACAGGGTTTCTCTGTGTAACAACCCTGACTGTCCTGGATCAGGCTACCCTCGAACTCTCAGAGATCTGCCTGTCCCTGCCTCCCAAGTACTGGAATTAAAGGTGTGCACCAACACTGCCAGGCCAAAATATTTCTATAGTTACAATGAACATCCCAGATTTTCTGGAAGGACCCAGATTTCAGTGGCATAGTGATTAGGGACTAGAATATGTGTTCCCATGGGTCACATGTGTGAGATCAAGATTGTCTGAGAAAGATGGTACATGGCTGGGGCAGATCCCTCATGGAACTCTGAAGCAACAGGAGAAAGGGGCCCTGGAGTCTAGTACACAGGCTGACCAATGTCCCTCCTGCATGGTGCCCACATTCCAGTGGAAGGATTTTAAGACTGACGGTTATCAGGGGTCACCCATGTGGACCCATGCAATCATAAGATCCTTAAGTGAAGGCAGGAAAAAGGATTCTGAAGGACTTAAGAATTAACAAAGAAAGAAAATAAGGAGACTTAGAAAAAAAACCTCTCACCCTAAGAACAGGGAGACCTGACTTAGAAACCTAACCAAGGTCACAATGACCCGAGTCCCTGGATTTTCCTGGCTGGCAGCAATAACTCCCTTACAGGGACACAAGACAACCTAACTAAATACCAAGAATTCCCAGAGGGCCACCCTGCCCTGGGGTCATGAAGATAAGAACAGACTATCCCACTGAGTCAGGAGACCATCCGGCCCCAAAAATGAGAGACCTCTAAAGGACCTGTGACTCTGGTCACTTACCCAAACCCCTAAAAGCCTATGGTTCTCTCCTGTAAAAGAAGCCTGCTTTTGAGGAACAGGGCTTCCTTTGTCTGTTGGACTGGGAGGTCCGTTTTCGAAAACGTCCCACAATAAACTTACCTCTTGTTTTTACATCAGCTGGACTGTACATTGAGTGTTTTTGGAGGACCGTCCGATTTGTGTAGACCCCTCGATCCGAGGGTCTTTCATTTGGAGGTCCCACCGAGATCAGGACATCCCCCAGACTCAATTTCACAGCCAGTTGCAGGTAAGGCAGTCTATGTGTCTATGTGTCTATGTGTCTTGTATTTGGTAAGGACCATAGAGGGAGATAGACGTATTCTGAGACTCATGGTTCTGCTCTGAACAGACATGTTCCGAGGAAGTTAATGGTTCGGCCTCGGACAAAAGTCTGAGGGTCATTTGGAGGAGGGAGAAGAGACGAAGTCTCACTTCTCTGGGGAGACGGCCAGCCCCAGACTTTGCTTCCCTCCCGATTTGTAATTCTGGTTTGGCGCCACCTGTCTACCGCACGGTTTGTCCTGTCTGCTGTATTTTGTTTTGTTGTACTTGTCATTTGTGTCAATCTCTGCTTCTCCCCAAGGGTCAACAACTAACCAGGACTGCTGGGCTACCCTGACCAGGTACCCTATCTTGTCTCCTGGGAGAGCCTGAGCCGTGATCCTCCTCCCTGGGCCTGGCCCTTCCTCCCACCCCCTCTTTCTGGCCCCTGCCCGACACCTCTGCCTT